GCAACCATCCTGGGTTTTTTGGGGTTTTTTGTTTGTTTGTTTTTGTTTTTGGTGAGATGGAGTTTCGCTCTTGTTACCCAGGCTGGAGTGCAATGGCGCGATCTCAGCTCACCACAACCTCCACCTCCTGGGTTCAAGCAATTCTCCTGCCTCAGCCTCCTGAGTAGCTGGAACTACAGGCGCGCACCACCATGCTCGGCTAATTTTTTTTGTATGTTTAGTAGAGATGGGGTTTCACCTCGTTGACCAGGATGATCTCAATCTCTTGACCTCATGATTCAACCACCTCGGCCTCCCAAAGTGCTGGGATTATAGACGTGAGCCACCGCGCCCGGCCCATCCTGGGTTTTTTAAGGTTTCTCTTCATGGATTGCTTTGCGCTCCTCCTCCTGCAAGACAGAGTGGGTCTCCACAGGCCCATGAATGTCAGAAATGAGTGCGAGCTTGGGGAAGCACCTCTCCTGCCATCAGGACAAAGTATCGGTGGTCCAGAGCAGGGTTCCCATCCCACGCTCTACTAGGAACCACACTTAGCCCCACAAAAGAAAGGAAAACAGGAGAGACATTGGATGGATCTTCCAGAAGGTCTTTGTTGCAATTTTCTCCATTATTGAAAAAAAATTACATCATCAAATAAAGACAATAGCAGCACAGCTTATTGAAATGTTACAAGCAAATTTGTTCTGTACTTTCCCTAAGAACATTACGAAATCCCCCTCCCCCCCCGCATTATTTTCTGTAAAATGCCTAAAGCACCATGAAATCCTACAGAGAGAAAAATAAGTAAAACACCTCCACACATGGACTTATCGTCACTGTCACTGGGTCCCCTGCCTGTGATTCTGGGACGGGAAAGAGGCCAGAGGCTGGCATGTGAGGTGGTTTGCATATCGCTTCTAGACACCACTGCACCTCCTCCCTTCAAGCTCAGAGCCCTGACAGCAAAGGAGAGGTTTCGCAGTTACCTTCTGCAGTGCAGGTCTGCTGAATCGATGGAACAGGAGTCCTCTCAAAATAATTTCTTTTTTTTAATGCACAGGGAACTATTTGAGATTTTTCACTTAAGAATCAAGAACACAAAGTAGATACCAAATCTCAGGCACCTGTGAAAATGATAATCACTTTCAGTAAAATCAGAGACACCTCTCATTTCTCCTCAATGCCACGGCACTGATGTCATGTGACTTGAGACAGCCACGGGAGAACTGAGGTTTACATGGAGCATGGGTGGGGTGGTGAAGTCCAGTGAAGGTATGGTGCAGGGGCAGAGGGCAGGGTTTTGGTTACAGCCATGTAATTAGCATGCTGTTCCAAAGTTTCCATATGCGGAATTAACAGCATCCACAATACCACATTAAATTGATTTTTGTTTCAGTTACCCTTTTTCTTTTTAAGGCCATTACTAGCCAGCTGTTACTGCTTACTCAGCCACTGATTTGCACACAATTGCATCATAACACTGAGAAAGAATAACCCCATATTAGCAAAATGCAACAAGCAGAGATACGGAATGTAACACTGGCTGGTTTTGCTTTCTCGTTTTACAGGGCTCTGAATATTCGTTTTCCTATGCCTTTTCCATGGTTCAGAAACCCTGGTACACACTGGATGCTTCACATTCTCACAAATCCAGCAGGTAAAAACCAGCCCCACCCAAACTCTGGCCACCTTCTCACTAGTTCTCAAAACCCAGCATGCAAATAGACAGGCAGCATTGACAAAGCCAGGAAATAATATCTTATCAGAGGGAGGCAAGGGGGCGGTTTCTTAATATTTAGCTCAACTAGGTCTTTAAACATGGAATGGTCCTTATAGAACCCAAAGCAGCCATTTCCTCTGGGGTGTGCATGTGTGTGTTTGCACGTGCGTGTGTGTGTGTGTGAGAGAGAGAGAGAGAGTGAAAGAGAGAGGTCTGTCTGATCATAGTACTTGAATTCATGATACGTAAGGTAAAGTACTACAATTGACTGCAAATAGCAACAGCTTAAAATTCTGTAACTAGTCTTAACACCATGCAAAAAATGCCCTCACAGCATGATCCCTCCCGCTGACAGTACAATGAAGAGCTATAAGGGAGGACACAGAGATCCTACACAGGGCATGATCCGAATTTGGACGTCAGTTTCCCAAGTACACTTGGTCTCCATCAATCCCCCCAAAAATCCCAAAGGGCAGGAGACTAAGCTCTTACTTTAACCTAAAATGGGCAAGACAATTAGTCGGTATTCACAAATCCAACTTATAACTTTCTTAATAAATTGAATGAACTCAGGGACTAGGGAGTGTTTTGTTAGAGAACTACACAACTCCAATGGCCCTTGACAAGTCTGTGTGCTCAACTCCCTTGATGTGCAGACAAGGTAACAGAGATCTAGGCAGGGAACTGATGTGCCCACAATCACAGGATCTGACTGGTGAAGCACAAATAGTCCCAGTTACCTTAGTAACGGGCTGGAGATGGCCCACCACCACCCCAACCCCCACATACACACACACACACACACACACACACACACACACACAAAAGTATACACTATCGGGTTAGGACTGGGTATGGAGCTGTACTCTTTCCAAATTTCCCATTGGCTCTCTCACCAGTAAACCTCCAGATCTGTCATGCATGAAAAATTCGGTGCCCAGTTGCCGGTGAAGCAAAAAACACCACCCACTGAAGATGGTGGACATGTGCTCTTTCCATGTGCAAAATGAAAGCATTTCTCCTAGATTTATGGTGCAGTAGGCATGCAGACTGGAAAGGAGGGCTGTGCTGATGTGCGTATAGACTGCGCAGCAGCGTCACCTTATCACGCGTATTCTAGGTGCATTTTGGCCCCATCTAAAAAAGGTAACATTTAAGTAACTTCAAAACAACTGGCCTCCCCCAAAATCTTAGTTTATGTGAAGAGGAATCCCACTTCTTACTCTGTCTCAGCTTCTTGTGAGATTATTTTGTAGGTTTCTAAACACTTTGCACAAATATTTAACGGATCATTCGCCATAGAGGATCTTCTTTGATTTTGTTCATCACGTCCTTGGTCAAATGTACTTAGGGAATGAATTATGTAGAAAATTTCCCCACTCCCAGCCCAAGGCTACATTTGATCCCTCTGTATGACTGATTTGACTCATCTGGGGAAGATCTATGCACACACCAACACATGCACCTGTTCCATTGGGTAGAGTATGCAGCTTAGTGCTTTGAACTGTTTTATTCTTGCTGTATGCAGAGTTCCCACAAAGTTAGCAAGTAAAGTGCAAAAGAGTGCTTTCAAAGGGCATTTTTAACAATAGGGTAAGGGCACCGCACACAGAATTTCCAAAACCAAAACCAAATAAATGTACAGTAGATGTCTGCAGGGGCAACCCTCCGAGCCATGTTTACGCAAAGACCTTGTGCTCTCTTGGTGGTGAAGATTCCTCCATATCTGCTCCCCACATCTGTAAGCTGTGTCCATGAAACTAGAAAGACACACATACACACAAACACACGTATTCACAAGGGTGTATGACACAGAAAATACAGCGAAGTTGAAACCAGACTTTGGTCAGACTTTGAATACCAGCTCTACCACTTTCTTGCTGTGTGCCCCCGGGTACCTTACATAGCTTCCCTGAGCCTCTGTGTCCTTGTGTATATAATGAGTTTGCAAATACTTCCCACAGAATGTCGTGAGGTTTTATTGAGCCGATGTTCATAAGGTGCCTAATCCTGTGCCTGGCCCACAGAAGGCACTGCACAAATGAGGGGGAAGCCTCTGCCAGATTTTGTTGTAGGGCCGGGAATTTTAACACATTACTGCAAAGAAGGTACCAGGTAACACGGTGGAAACCCAAATAAGTGAGATCCATGGACAGTTTAATTAGGAAACTTTGACTTGCTAGAATACAGAGGATGTCCCAGTTATCTACCTATTCCTTAAAACACATTTTGTCAGGCTGGAATGATTTCCATAGTAAAACTCAACATCCATACCTGCATAAACGTTGCCTCCCAAGTGACTTTTTTATTACAGTGTCAACATAGGATGTCACCCCTGAGCCCCATCTCCAGCCCAATGGAGGAGTTGACTTAAACCCTCCGTAGACAGGAAGGGCCTCATCAAAGTTGATTCTTATCTGGCTCCTTCTCAAAGGCAATGCCAGAACTTCACCAGAGCCTGAAGGTCTGGGGGCAGGGAGAGGGGATTGCATGTGCTCCAGGCAGGGGAGAGCTGGGCATTTTTGAGAAATGGGCAGGGACAGGTCTTCTGTGGTACCAGGTCAAGGATATCACGGGTACAACTTTCTCTGGACGTCAGACAGCATTAGACAGTTTCCGGAGGTCTCCACTAGTGCTGTGAACTTTTGGTGAATCCACACTGCAGCTTAGTTATGTAAATTCCTACAAACTCTCTAAAAGGTGGCAGTGAGCCTAGAACACCCAGAACCAGCAACTTCCTGGTGTTGCCAGGTCCAGATGCTTTCGAGTATGGCCCAAAGAGCTAGCTTTGAACCAGCCAGTTATGATGAAGGCTGAGGCATACACAGGAGTATGTATTTTCCCCTTTCTGATAAAAACCCATTGAAGATCATCATCTCAAAACCTATGACTAGGGCCGGGCACGGTGGCTCAAGCCTGTAATCCCAGCACTTTGGGAGGCCGAGGCGGGTGGATCACGAGGTCAAGAGATCGAGACCATCCTGGTCAACATGGTGAAACCCCGTCTCTACTAAAAATACAAAAATTAGCTGGGCATGGTGGCGCGTGCCTGTAATCCCAGCTACTCAGGAGGCTGAGGCAGGAGAATTGCCTGAACCCAGGAGGCGGAGGTTGCAGTGAGCTGAGATCGCGCCATTGCACTCCAGCCTGGGTAACAAGAGTGAAACTCCGTCTCAAATAAAAAAAAATAAAAAATAAAAAACCTATGACTATCCGTTCCCCGAATTTCCTCTACGGGATGTTCTAGCCTCACAGGCCAATCACAATTACGACGTGTTAGCTTATCGTTTGCCTGGGAACAATCAGTCTAGGGGTGTTCCGGTTTTAGTGAATAACCGATGTGAGATGAAGAAACAGGCAAGGAGAAGAAGCAGCGTTTTCAGAATAAAGGATTGCCCAAACGTAAAAGTAACATGAAATAGTTTAAGTCTTTCTAAGTATCATTGTTAAACGGAATTAATGGCACTTAGGCTGCAAGCAATCAAAACATTTCAAGCTTACTGTGCAAGGGGTACATTTTCTTTTTGTTTGGAGATAGTGAGATTGGATCTTATAACTACGTCTACCCTAAGACACCCAAGGGACAAAAAGCCCTGAGATGGAAAGATGCCACGGTCCTCCTCGGTACGTCTCAGAAATGCAGGATGTCTATTTTTATAAACACGTAAGATCAGCTAGACAGAACAGCAAGCCACTGGCATCATGCAAGGCAATTGTTTTGGTATTTCGCCCGCTCTTATCAAAACAAGTTATAACCAAAGTTCCACTAGGAAAGTGAACATGGACATTTCCAAATCGGTTTATTGTCACCATTGCACCCACTGAGGAAAATGCACGGCTGGCCTTTAACCATGCAGCGGCTGATGTCGCATTTTCACCAATGCTCGCCAGTTCATGTGGACTACCTACCCCCGTGAGAAAGACCGTACTCAGCAGGGCTTCTGTCATTGGTGAAGGCGATATCCACAGTGTGATGTGTTTGTGACTGTTTTTTTTTCCTTTGTCATGAGAAAAGCAATTGCACCTTTTAATACATGCGCTCTGATCTGCTTCCAACAAATTCCAGGTGCTCTCAGGTCCCACAGACATTCATTGGGAGCATAGAAAGACTAGGTATTATGCACTGAATGGTGTGTATCAAAATTCCAGCTCAGAGAACGTAACAAAATGTCAACCCCAACCCTTGTTACCCATAACCAGTTCACCCCCAACCAGATCCCCTTCTGCATGTGCACATATCACTAACGACTCCACCAAAAAGACACATCCATTTCTTTCAGGAGGCTGGTCTAAGGAATAGCTGCCCTTACCTATGTGTGTGCCCAGGTGGCACTGCCCAGGGATATGGCACTGCCACTGAAACGCCCTTAACATGTACAGCCAGAACTGGCTACGTGCACAGACGTTCTCGGTGCGTCCCACGGTTGCTATCTGAAATGTTCTTATTCTTTGATTCCTTTTGGCAGAGCAAGTTTTCAGTTGTTTATGGCACAGTGAAATATATTCTTCAATGCTATGTAATTTTGGACTAATAAGTCTGTTTAAGGCACATGTCTCTGTGAATATTAAAAACACACACACATACACACACACACACACACACACACCACACACAATGCTCAGTTCAAGACCAATGTCCTTCACATTTAGTTTCTGTCTTCAAGTAATGAGTTGTTCTCCAGCTCCCGGTCTTTGGTGTCCGTGGGTATCATCCCGTTCTCCATCTCAGCGTGCTGCTGGATACAGTCCGTGAGCATGGCTGTGCTGGAGTTGTCTGAGTTACACATCTTTTCCGTCTCCTCCTCCTTCTTCTCCTCATCCAGGGAGTAATTCCGGAAGGTCTTGTAGATTTTCTGAACGTCCTCGGGCAAGGTCTTTTTGAGGTCCTTGTTTTTCCTCTTGGTGAGTCTGGAGGTGGACCCGAACTTGTTGATGATGTTGTCCTCGGACGCGCCCTGCCCGTGCTTGTTCAGCTGCTCCGGCCCCTTCAGGCGAAGGTTGTTAGGCCGGTTGTTGATGCTCTCCTGGGAAGAGGCCTTGAAGCGGCCCGTGTCCAGGGCGGCGAAGACAGAGCGCTTCTCTGGGGACAGCATGTCCAGCGAGTGGGCCCGCTGGTCCAGGCCCAGCCGCCGGCGCTCCATACTGCGGATCGTGGCCGCCCGCTGCAGCTTATCGTGGATCTCCACGCTGAGCCTTCGCCTTGTCTCCCGGAACTCGGCCGTGACGTTGGCCTTCCACTCCGCCGCATGGGCCTTGATTTCACCCACCTGGCCAAGAGACAGAAGAGCAACAATACACTGACAAATGCCTCCCTGCCTCAGGCCTCCCAGCACCCACAGCCCTCGGGTGTTCCCACAGGGAGGCCAGGAGGTGGCGGAGCACGTCCCCAGGGAGAGGTGCAAATGCTACCTTCTGCCCTAGTACTTCTGCCACCCAGACACCCATCCCAAACTGGCTAGTGACTAACGTGACTCAGGGAGGCACACGTGGTGGGGAACCCCAAGAAGGCTGAGGTTTGCAGATGGTGACTTAGAGGGGGATGGTGTTCTGCAGGAGAAGTTAAAATGTAGAGTTGGACAGGCCTGGCTTCCAGTTCTCTTTTGTCAATTGCATGGCCTCATTCCCCCAACATAAACTTGAGTGACCGTATCTAGCTCACCTGAGATGAGGAAATGCCACCCACTCACTCCTGGGCACAGCAAATGTTCAGCAGGCCTTCTGCCCTCCCTGCCTTTCTGGTATTCTATCCGGGCAGGGTGATCAACCTCTCCCAATTTGTCTGGAACTGTCCCAGTTTTAAAATAGAGTCCTGTGTCCTAGGAACTCCTTCAGTCCTGAGGACACTGGGATGGTTGGCCAAATTATCCAGGCCACGCTACGGCCTCGTGCTGTGGGGCTTTCCCTGGTTTAAGAAGATGCTCCAGGGTACCTGCTAACCCACTTTCCCAGGTAAGGGTGCAGGAAGAGGGCCTGTTCTGCCAAAGCCCACAGAACAGGCCTCCTTAGAGTGCAGCTCTGCCTGAGGAGCAGCACCAAATTTCCTGGCTTTTAATCAACAGGGCTGACAGGTCAAGTCCTATGCTTCTCTCTGCCAATGAGGAACTCAAATTTGTGCGTTCAGGAAAGTCAATATTCATGTTGTTCCCTTCTCTTTTGTTATAGATGATTTTCGGCAGGTCAGTTAGCTGACTGGTGAATCAGTCTGGAAATTGCATTGGGAGTACTTATGTAAGCCAGGAAAATGAGCATGCGGGCCCAGGAAAATGATACGGGAAATCTCTCCATTCAGCAACTTTCTCCTGGGGCCTTTTATACAGAATGAAGCAAACAGAGGCCGGCCCTCTCTTGATTTCTTTGGTTTTTCTTATCTCCCTGCCTTTCTTTAGCTCTTTTTTCCCCTCCTTCCTTGGCCTTCCTCCTTTATTTTCCTCTCTTCCTAAGAGAGCTCCATAAATACTTATTTTTTAATCACAAAATCTATCTTTCCTTCTTATGTCTTCCTCTACTTCCCTTCATGTAAAGTTACATGCATGGCTCTGTCCACAGGGTTGTATTTGTCTCTATGGATGCAAGAACCAAGAAGGAATGTACGTGAAAAAGACCCCTTGGGTTCACTGCCCCACGGCGGGCCACAATTCGATGATTTCAGTTTCTTACTGAATCAGGAAAGATTCTTGGCATTCAGCTGCATTTCTGCACAGTTCCTGAGACTGGAAGGACAGGCTGCCCACCCCGCCCCCAGCCAGCGTCTACCTCTGCTGACTATTTTCATTTTCATTTTTTAAAAAATCAGCTGTTGTTTACTAGTTTTTCCAGGATTTATGGAATGGTAAATGAATCACCATATTTTCTCACCTACCAAACAAACAAATTAGAATCCGGAAATAACTGCTATTCCATTCTCTTTGGCTTTGAGGGAATAATTCAACATGAGGAAGCTTAGGAACTGCACCCCCACCTCCGCCGCTGAGCCACAAACACTCCAGCCCACAGGACAGAGACAGGCAATTCTGGACACAAGCTCATCTGTTCTCAGGGAACATTTATAGAGTTAGGAAGGGGTCCTACCTCTTCTTTTGTCTTTTTGGACAGAACCCGTAGCCAGTCTCCAATCATACTGAGGACAGCTGCAAAGTAGGCAAGGCCAACCAGGATCCAAAACCACACTAGGGGCTTATACCACTCCCGGTAATTGATGCCAGCGTTTCCCCCTGAAAACAACCAGATGTTACTTTAACCGTGATCTAGCGCGTGGTCTTTGCAGAGAACACACATTCCAGTCCATGAAGCGAAGACGTCATCCATCATCATCTAACACGCAGCTGTCAGGCTTGCTACGTACAAGGTGGAGCGGGGTTAGAGGGCAAGAAGGATACACGGCCCTTTCCCAAAGTAGCCTAACTTGAGGTTTTACTTCTTTTGATTCTTGAACACTAAACTTAATACCAGAAATAGGCCAACTTGACCTATTTATGCTAACCTGAGCATGGAGGAAAAAACGACTCTGCAATACAGGACAACAGAACCTGGCTGTTGTCGTTTTTTCTTAAACTTCACTAAACATATTTTAATAAAAATTGAATATCATTATATCACCAGCTATGGTTTGGAATTCTTGGAACCATTTCCATCTTAAGCACTCGTCCATCTACCAGGAGACAAACGGATGTGTGAAGGTAAAATTAGGTAAAATGGCATTACTGGGCCTTTGATGCAAGCAATAGTGATTTAATGCCAACTGAGGACTGGTGTTTACATAGCGCTACTCCAAAAGGTCAATTAGGCTGAGTAATTACAGTCACCATAAGCTAGAACTAAAAGGGACCTTTGAGGCCAATCCCTTTATTTTATAAATAAGGATTACAGTAAAAATCCATCAAACCAAATTGGCCAGGTGCCTGATTGCATTGATTGGCTGTTCCACTGAAAGGATCAGTCATTTATTCTAAATAATTAGCCTCTTTATTCTAACTTTCCTACAGGCGATGCTGGAAGTGGCCATGCAAAACAGGTTGCAAGCCCAACCCACCCTCCTAAAGAAGTGTGGAAGCTCCTGGAAATAAAGGACTTCAGCCTCAACCTCTCTCTGGGAAACAGTGTTGCCTAACGAAGCAGGTAGTGATCGTTTCTAAGACAACAGATATTAGCAATGGATTGGTAACTATGGCATTGGGTGATGAGTGATTAGAGACTTTCCCACTGGGCCAGAGTTGTAATCACACCTAGCACCACTGAGTCTTACAGCAAAGGCAGCTGGGCAGGAACTGTGGCCTGTGGCTCCGCTCGGCTTGTCCAAACGCAATCCGCGACAGAGCCCAGCATACCACAAAGTCTTGACAGCTACTGCCACTTCTTAATGTTAGAATTCCAACTTCTCCGTGCCAAGACCCCTTCCGTTTGGTCCGTCCAGCTGCCTTTGGTTTTTCCCTTCAGGCAGCTCTCTCCTGCATCTTTAGAGCTCTGGGATACTATTTGAGTTCGTGCACCAGGAAGTGGTTTTTGAGGTTCATTTCATTTCTGTGGTTTCTGTGCTATGCCAGAGAAATCTGTGACTTTCTCCTATGGGCTATCTGGAATTATTTACCTTTGTAAGTCACTATCATCCAACAAAGATGGTCACTAGGGTGCGCTAGTGAACAAGGAACAATGAACCAGGCAGTCAACACCCTTGTAAGTATCCCTTTATGAGTGGCTGGTCTGAATTCAGAGTTCTGTGTGTATTCCCAGACACAGTTGCGAAATACTGTAAGGCTGTCCTAAAATAAGTCAGCTGCAGAATAAATCAGCAATCAATCCTGCAGGATCAATGTTCTGATTCCATTTCTAGTAGAGTTGGTACTATGTCAAATCAGAGCAACCATCAACTCTTGTTAACGTATCTTTTTTCAGTGATTGGGCAACCTTCCCTATCACTCTTAGACTCTTGTAGTATTTCACAACTCTGTCTGGGAGTACACACAGAGCAAAAGATAGTGACAACTTCCAGTCTTTTAAAGCATGCATTCTCAAGATCAGTCTGTGTAAACTCTGAAAACTGGAGCTTAGAAGGGACCTGGCCTAATTGCAGTCGGCACTGTGACTCTTTTTTTTTTTTAAGACGGAGTCTTGCTCCATCGCCAGGCTGGAATGCAGTGGTGCAATCTCAGCCCACTGTGACCTCCACCTCCTGGGTTCAGGCCATTCTCCTGCCTCGGCCTCCTGAGTAGTTGAGACTATCGGCACACGCTACCACACCCAGCTAATTTTTGTATTTTCAGTGGAGACAGGATTTCACTGTGTTGGCCAGGATGGTCTCGATCTCTTGACCTCATGATCCACCCACCTCGGCCTTCCAGAGCACTGGGATTACAGGCATGAGCCACCACTGTGCCCAGCCAGCACTGTGACTTAAGAGACCATGGTCTGCAGAAACCTCAGGACAAAGGCAATATGGCTCTGAATCACTGACAAGAGCAGTAAAACTCTGGATACCTGGGACCATGTAGGTTGTGCCCTTACTAGGTAAGTAAAGATAAGGTAAAGTGCTAGTTTGTACTAAGTGGTCAGTCCATGTACATAAAAATAATAAATAGTAAGAGCAGGCATGGTGGCTCAGCTTGTAATCCCAGCACTTCGGGAGGCTGAGGTGGATGGATCATGAGGTCAAGAGATTGAGACCATACTGGCCAACATGGTAAAACCCCGTCCCTACTAAAAAATACAAAAATTAGCCAGGTGTGGCAGCATGTGCCTGTAATCCCAGCTACTCAGGAGGCTGAGGCAGGAGAATCGCTTGAACCAGGGAGGTGGAGGTTGCAGTGAGCGGAATCACACCACTGCACTCCAGCCTGGTGACAGAGTGAGACTCTGTCTCAAAAATAATCATAATAATAAGAGCATAATTTAAAAAACAACTCACTCCCAGGGCTCTGCTCTTTGTGCCTCAGATTAACAGACTGAACTGAGCCATTGGTTAAAGATCTGTGTCTATCACAAGTATCTCATTAAAGACAGGCCTTGGGACAGCCCAGCGCTATCCCAGAGAGCTCTAAAGCACTACCCGCTGCAGATTATGCTTTGGGTACTTAAGGACATTTGGGAAATAGTTCAAAACTCCAGCTGCCACTACATGTGTTTATCTTAGATTGGAACCACCACTGAGTCTTCCCATAGACCAGCTATGGATGATGCTAAGGAACTAACTGGAATACATGTCTAACTGGTCCTCTTACTTTTCCCAGTTTCTCTGTGTGGTATCTCTTTGGAGCTTGAGGCTACTAACCAGACATCCGTGGCTGAGCACTGTGCGTAAGGAAAAATTGGTAGAGTCCCAGACAGCGGGCTTTCTGTAAATGGCTTTTAGTCACATCGACTAAATATCAATTTTTAGTCAAAAGTCAAAAAAACTAAATTTTCATCACTTTGCAATTCTTAGTCCTTAACCAATAAAAAGGAAGGAAAGAAAAGCCCTACGATTTCTACAAAGTGGACTTCAGTCTTGGTCTACCCAATTGGAAGAGCTACAAAACCACTCTGCCAGTTATTTGTATTCTAAAATGGGAGGCACCCACGCCCCTATTGATGAACCTTCAGCATCTCTTCCAGAATTTCCTGTTTATCAGACTCCCAGAGACCAGAGCCCACTCCCCCCGATGTGCACAGGACTCCATGGAGAAAGCAAGACTGCTGGGATCACACGCCAAACAAGAACAGTCTGGCCAGGTACAGTGGCTCACACCTGTAATCCCAGCACTTTGGCAGGCCGATCACTTGAGCCCAAGAGATGGAGACCAGCCTGGGCGACATGGCTAAATCCCATCTCTATGAAAAATGCAAATTAAAAATAGCCAGGCGTGGTGGCACACGCCTGTAGTCCCAGTTACTCAGGAGGCTGAGGTGGGAGGATTGCTTGAGCCCGAGGTTGAGGCTGCGGAGAGCCATGATCACACCACTGCACTCCAACCTCAGCAACAGAGCGAGAAAACCCTGGCTTAAAAAAAAACCCATCTTACATGCAAGAATACACAAAGGCTCAAAATAAAGGGATGGAGGAAGATCTACCAAGCAAATGGAGAGCAAAAAAAGGCAGGAGTTGCAATTCTCATCTCTGATAAAATAGACTTTAAAGCAACAAAGATCAAAAGAGACAAAGAAGGACATTACATAATGGTAAAAGGATCACTGCAACAAGAAGAGCTAACGATCCTAAATATATACGCACCCAATACAGGAGCACCCAGATACATAAGGCAAGTTCTTAATGACTTACAAAGAGACTTGGACTCCCACACAATAATAGTGGGAGACTTTAACACCCCATTGTCAATATTAGACAGATCAACCAGACAGAAAATCAACACGGATATCCAGGACCTGAATACAGACCTGGAACAAGCAAACCTAATAGACATTTACAGAACTCTCCACCCCAAATCCACAGAATATACATTCTTCTCAGCACCACATCACACCTACTCTAAAATTGACCACATAATTGGCAATAAATCACTCCTCAGCAAATGCAAAAGAACAGAAATCATAACAAACAGTCTCTCAGACCACAGTGCAATCGAGTTAGAACTCAGAATGCAGAAACTAACTCAGAACCGCACAGCTTCATGGAAACTGAACAACTTGCTCTTGAATGTTGACTGGATAAACAATGAAATGAAGGCAGAAATAAAGATGTTCTTCGAAACCAATGAGAACGAAGACACAACATACCAGAATCTCTGGGACACATTTAAAGCAGTCTCTAGAGGAAAATATATAGCAATGAGTGCCCACATGAGAAGAAAGGAGAGATCTAAAATTGACACCCTATCATCAAAATTGAAAGAGCTAGAGGAGCAAGATCAAAAAAACTCAAAACCTAGCAGAAGACAGGAAATAACTAAGATCAGAGCAGAACTGAAGGAAATAGAGACACAAAAAAACTCTTCAAAAAATCAATAAATCCAGGAGCTGGTTTTTTGAAAAGATCAACAAAATAGACAGACCACTAGCCAGATTAATAAAAAAGAAAAGAGAGAATAACCAAATTGATGCAATAAAAAACGATAAAGGGTGATATCACCACAGATTCCACAGAAATCCAAACCATCATCAGAGATTATTACAAACAACTCTATGCACATAAACTAGTAAACCTGGAAGAAATGGATAAATTCCTGGACACCTGCAACCTCCCAAGCCTAAACCTGGAAGAAGCCGAAACCCTGAATAGACCAATAACATGG